CCACTCGCTGATCCACCACTCCCTGCTCCTCGAATGGTTCAAATAACCGAGGATGCGTTCCAACGCATGATAGCAGAAGCTTCAACTCGCGCTGCCACTGAGGCCGTGACCCAATATATCGCCACGATGGGAGCAAATGCTCCCAACGCGATACCAACACCTGCTCCACATGTGGAGCCACCTATGGCACCACCGCCATCGACTCCCTGGGGGCTTACATCTGCCCCCAAAATATTTCGTTCGCCAAGGGTTATCGACTCCCTGGGGGCTTACCTCTGCCCCCAAAATATTTCGCTCGCCAAGGGTTATCGACTCCCTGGGGGTATACAGTGCCCCCAAAACATTTCGCTCGCCAAGGGTTATCGACTCCCTGGGGACTTACATCTACCCCCAAAATATTTCGTTCGCCAAGGGTTATCGACTCCCAGGGGGTTTATAGTGCCCCCAAAATATTTCGTTCGCCATGGGTCATCGACTCTCTGGGGACCTACTTCCGCCCCCCCTCGAACGGTTCAGATAACCGAAGAGGACCTTCAGCGTATGATCGCCGAAACTTCAACAATATCAACTTCTACTTGCTCCTCTAACGGTTCAGATAACCGATAAGGACCTTCAGCATACAACCGCGAAAGCTTCAACTCGTGTTGTCACTGAAGCAACGACACAACCGTGTGCATCCACCTCAGACCATAGGTCTCGAGCGCCTCATCCTACAGTGGGTAGTTAACACATCTCAAGGTTGGGCATCACCATTACCTTTCAACCCCAAGTGGGTTCACATCACATCTCAAGAGACGAGACAAATCTCCCTACTCAAAAAATAGAACATCCCAAGGGGTGAACATCAACTACCAAAATTAAAATAAAAATAAAAAAAGGGCAAAATCGCGCACGCGAGACCCAAGAAAAAGAAGAAGAAGAAAGACGAAGATGAAAATGAAAAAAGAAAGAAAAACTAAGAAGAACAAAAAAAAGAAGACGAGAAAAAAGAAAAAGAAGAAAGAAGAAAAAAAAAGACGAAGATAAAAGAAAAAAAAAAAAAACGGAAAAGATGAGGCTGCCAGCGCGTGGAGCACCGCGCGCCTCGGTCGCCGCGCGCGAGAGAGAAAAATAGAAAAAAAAAAAAAAAAAAAAAAAAAAAAAAAAAAGTAAAAGGTTGCTGGTGCGTGCGTAGCACGCGCGCGAGGGCAGCCCTCCATTGGGCCAAATGCGCGCCTCGGTCGCCGCGCGCTATTAAAAAAAAAAAAAAAAAAAAAAAACCAAAAGGGATAAATTTTGAAAAAGCATTGCAAAGCCTACGTGTGGCAGCCATCACCTACCAAAGCTGCACATGTCTAATCATGCTTTCAATCAAACAGCTCCCTTTCTCTCTCCTCTCCCGGGCTCCGTGCCGGCTCCTCCTTTCACAGAAAAATGTGCAGCGCGCGGCTCTCTCCTCTCACACGGAAATTTGCGCGACTTGATTCCTCGGCTCACCAGCCTCCTCCCCTCCATCCGATCGCGCGAATTTTAATGCACTCCACCAAATCGCGTTCGGATTTTTACACATTTCATCAAATCGCGTCCGGATTTTTAAGCGCTTCACCAAATCGCGCACGAATTTCAACGCGCTCCACCAAATTACGCGCGCTCTCCAACGCGTCTCAGCAAATCGCGCGCGCTCTTCAAGGGGTAAATAAAAATTAGTATTTTTGCACACCACGCCAACAATTAACGGTACACCACAACACCAATCTATTGTCAACTTGATTCCACGCAAATCGCGCACTGCACGCTTCGACATCTCCAACTGCGCTACGTGCGTGTGCCCATCTCCACCGCGGGACCATCATTCGCGTCCGCGATCTCGATCCACGTAATCCTCTACCGAGCGACCTCGACCCACGTGATTCCCCACCGTGCGACATCGATCCTCATGTGCGTCCCAGATACACGCATCACTCCACAGAAGTGGCGATATCGGTTCTACAAACATCAATTCGCGCGCGCACACCTTCCTCCACTCACTTAATCGCGCGCAACTTTCACTGCGCACCAACAAATCGTGCGTGAATCTTAACGCGCTCTACCAATTCGCGCAAGGATTCCAACGCGCCCAACCCAATAGCGCTCGTTCTCCGCAGAAAAAATAAAAATTATTATTCCTCCACGCCATGCTAACGATTAACGAAACACTACAGCACCCGATCTACTCTCACGATCCGGTACCCTTTTCGACGTGGCTCCCACATCGTCTCGAGAGTGGAGGGCTTGCGAGACAACTCCCACGAGGAGCCAACTCGCTCGGAACTACAACCCGTAGCGAGACAACTCCCACGAGGAGATAACTCGCTCGGTCATATAACCCGTTGCGAGGCAACTCCCACGAGGAGCCAACTCCCTCGGGTCTACGAAACCACGGCGAGATAACTCCCACGAGGAGACCACTCGCTCGGTACTACAACCCGCAGCGAGACAACTCCCACGAGGAGCCAACTCGTTCGGTACTACAACTCGGAGCAAGACAACTCCCACGAGGAGACAACTCGCTCGGTACTACGAACCCGCAGCGAGACAACTCCCACAAGGAGCCACCTCGCTCGGTAAAAAGACTCGCAGCGAGACAACTCCCACGAGGAGACAACTCGCTCGGTACCACAACCCGCAGCGAGACAACTCCTACGAGGAGCCAACTCGCTCGATACTACAAATCCATTGCAAGGCAACTCCCACGTGCAACCACCTCGCTCGATAATATTACTCACCGCGAGACAACTCCCATGAGGAGACAACTCGCCTGAAATTCACTATATAATTGCAAGCTCAAGTTAGCACGATTACAACCCTAGAAACACTTAGAGATATTATGAGAATCTATATAGCCTGGCCAGCTTGATTACTCAAAATTTATCTACTTGTTTTCGATGGGTCCTTCATTAAAACGTGGCCACGGTCCAAATATACTTACGACCCACGAGGTCTAACAAGGGGCACGATCCCCATAAAAAAACTCTTGAGAGTCTGATCCCCTCCTCAAGTACATCACGCACAAGGCTATATGTAAACACATACAAGCAACGCGTCAAAACATTGACAATGTCGATAAATAACAACTCCCACGAGGAGAATACTAGCTCCGTGCTACTACATTATCACGAGACAATTCCCACGAGGAGATAACTCGATCAACTCTATTACCCCACGACGAGACAACTCCCACGAGGAGATTACTTGATCCGTGCTACCACATTATCGCGAAACAACTCCCACGAGGAGATAACTCGATCAACTATATTACCCCGCGACGAGACAACTCCCACGAGGAGACAATTCGCTACTACATCGTCGCGGGACAACACCGACGACTCAAATAACTTACATAGCGACAACTTGGTCGCGCTACGCGCCAACGCGCATTCACGCCCCTCCGACACACGCTCCAATGCATTTTCGCACACCATCAGGCCATATGCCAAAGAACGAACACTACAATTTTCACTCTCGACACGATTGAGAACCAATTTCAACATGGCCCCCACATCGACTCGAGAGTGGGGGGCTTAATGATATGCCTAATTGGGCCAACCCAATGGGCCTACAATTTATTTACCTACTGGGCCACGAGCCCAATATCGAAGACAATTATCACCGAGGCCCAATCACCTTCAGGTAAGGTTCGGGCCCGACAATCTCAACTAAGATATAAATAAAGGTTTGAACTCATTCCTCAAGGTACGTCCTATTAACTGAGCAATACTACAATACGTATTCTCTGGACTATTTCTACTATCAGCATGTCTGACTTGAGCGTCGGAGGGGTTTCCGCCGGATCAACCCCCGGCCTAGTTCACGTGTTCTATGATCGCAGGTACCTCAGGATCATCAAGTTGTCAAGCTACTGATCCGCTTTACTCTCCCAGTTTATTTTCTACACTACCCCAGGTGATCTAAATATTTTAGCATCATCATATATATATATATATATATATATATATATATATATATATATATATATATATATATATATATATATATATTCAATTAACAAAAAAGAAAATCTCAAATCTGGAGAATTGAAGTACATGATTTTGAGAGTACAGATTTTGAGGATACACAACTACTACATCGTGGCCCGAAGTACGAGAAACAACAACATTAACAAATAAAATATATATATATTCACTTAACAAAAAATAAAATCTCAAATCAAGAGAAGTATATGTTTTTGAGAATATATAGCTACGACATAATGGTCAGAAGTGCGAGAAACATCAACATTAAAAAATTACTACGAATAAAAAAAAAAATCACAGGGCAGATCGATTTTTCTATAACGATCCCTGCTCAATTATATATTAATTTGTGTATAATTATAAATTGCAGATAGAGTAATAGAAAACTCAACAAAAGAAAATAAAATTATAACAAATACTAAGAATTTGTCAAAACTGAAAAAAAAAAACTTACTCAGGAATTTGAAGAATTGTCTTGCAGAGTTCTGCTATGGATTTCAATGATGTGTGAGCAGTGGTGATGAAAAGGCTCGTAGAAGGGATATATTTTATGATGGTAGGGTTGGAATTTACAAGGTATTTATGAGTAAAATAAATAAAAAAAAAATTTCAGAACTAGGTCTGACCGAATAAGCGTGAGAATTGCGGCTGAATCGGTAAGCAATAAATCTTTCAGTTAAGAGATTCCCTCCAAACACGCTAAATATTATTATGCTGACCGAATCAGCGGAAATTAGTCATTAAGAGGCCAATAAGAGATAATCAAACGGGCCCTTAGAATTCTGGGCCTGCATTCAGCATAATGCCCAACTGCATTTACCATTCTGGGCCTGCATTTATCAGCTTCATAGATTTTTTTATTAAAAAAATAAAAATGTTTATTTTATTATTATTTTTTATATATACCGTTGTATTTTTTTATTTTTATTATTATTTTAATTTTTTAATTTTTTAATTTTGTTTTATTTTTTAGTTTTTTAATTTTTTTTAATTTTTTAATTTTTAAATTTTTTAATTTGTTTTAATTTTTTTCAATTTTTTGATAAATTTACTGTACTGAAATAAATTGACTACACATGACTATAGTATACGACAGTCATGTATAGTTATATGTAGTTATGTACTATTTTTTATCCCAAAATTATGGTCGACCGATTATGTAACCCGTTGATTATATAAAAAAAAACTTCATTTATACCAACAAATAAATTTACAATTTGAATCTTGTTATTATAAATCAATTAGTGCCCAACAAAAAAATCGAAAAACACAATCATTAACACCATCATCAGTATACATCAGAAGAAACGCATATCTTTTATATAAAAATATATAATTACATGCTACTAAACGTGACTATATATAATTACATGTATATGACTATATGTGACTATATATGACTACATGTATATGACTATATGTGACTATATATGACTACATGTATGTGACTATATATGACTACATGTATATGTATATGACTATATGTGACTATATATAACTACATGTGACTAACTATATGAGTATAGTCATGTATAGTATAATTTGAATTTATAGCTTCAAATCTCACTTTTCAACCCGACAACTCCGATCTATTGAAACTAGAACACTAAAAGCAGGCTCGGTTCGATCCCAAACCAAATAAAACGTAAAATAAAAAAAGGAGAAAATCCACCCCCTATGAAACCCTTCCCCGTCGCCACACCTGGCCACCGCAAGCTCCTCGTCGACCGCTCAAAACTGTTGCACATAAAATACTAATACTATCAAATTCATTCGCCATTAAATCCATAAATATTAATAATTAAAAGAAATGTCAAGGCTCACAATCCACTCTCTCCAACACACACACACATACCCTCACTTCCACACACTCACAACAGTTAACTATACAACAATTACATGCTAGAAGATTATGAAGGTATTTTCCTCAAAACTCAATTTAGGAATGACATACTCACAGAAGCCGCCATATAATTGTATGTGCCACTGCAACCTAAAAATTAAATTCAACCAAACCAATCATAAAAAACAATCAACGATTCAATTTTTCGATTAAATATATACAAAATATTAATGAAAAAAAATGAGACCCAATTAGAATCACAGATCGGAAAAATCACCAAATTAGCCTTGTTTTGTTTTACCGGAAAAATGGTTTTCAGAAATCGAGATCGGTTTTCGGGACATCGGCGATTCTGAGAGCCCATGAAATTAGCATGATGAGAAATCCAGCAGCCAAAGAGAGCATCGATGTTAGCCATGGAAATGGGTACGCGTTCAGGCTCCACCACGTGGTGAAGTAAATCCCGATCTTCAGTTTTCTCGTCGCCTTCGACGATTCTAGAATCGGCTCCGATCGACGGCCTTGTACGCCTTGCAGATAACCAGAGAAGATCGCGCCGTCTCTCTGTCAGTAGAAGTGACTGGACCTTCGAGACGTGGAGCGGTTTGGAAGGGGAAATAGTGCAGCTCCGGAGAGTTTTCGCCGCCGCGAGTGATGGCCAGATCTGGCGACAGAGAGTAAGAAAGAGGGAGAGATGAAGAGGGATGGAAAGAACGGCGGTATGAGTTGGAAGAGAGAAGATTAGAAGGGTTAGGGCATATATTGAATTAAAACTAAAAAGGGTAAAATAGGTACTTCAAATTATCTAGGGGGTCTCACTAATTAAGATCAGAATTTGGGTTTTTGACTAGAGCAGAAAAATTTGTTGGGCCTCCTTATATATATTTTCAAAACTAGGGGGTTATCACTCATTTCCCCAACATAATTTATCAATTTTTTATTAACTAATTACACCAAACACAACAGATTTAACCGAAACCGAAACCGAAACCGAAATCGAAACTGTAACCAAACCAAAACGCTTCGTATTATTAGCATATAATATATTGACAACACAAATTAAAACACCCTAGTAACATCATCGAGTATTCGCGTTAATTAATTAAGCAGTAGCATATTTAGCTTTATAGTCCGTCCAGAGCTGATCGACAGTCTTCCCCAACAAATCAACGAAGTAACTATTACTATACCCGGTTTTCATCTTCTTATTTAATTCAGCAACAAATCCATTCCTAAGTCCGTTGCAATAATCCAAGAACCTGGCCGTAACATCGTAGCCTTGGTCCCACCTGTCACCCTTACCGGGGCCCACCCAGTGACTCGGTGCGTAACCGGCCTTGAGCCTCACAAAATCTGCTACACCTTCGATCAGACCGCCAGGTGTCTGCCCGTTTCCATTCCATTGCCAGATGTGTGTCATCTCGTGGTATAATACCCCCGTGAATTCTTTCTTTACGTCGCCTGAGTAACTCTGGATGTACCTGCATTAGGGTGTTTTGAAAATGAGATGTTTTAGTTGAAAAGAATGAGTTTGTTGCATTAGTACCCCTGTGTTGTATCGAAATTCTGCAAAAGTCCCGTGTTATAAATGTTAGCAAAAATCATATACGATGATTTTCTTTAGTTCACAACCTTCAACTTTGTCATGTGGAACCTCATCTCTGGTTCATCGATATAATCATGAACTAAACTTTTGGATCCTCTATTTCAAATGGTGAGTCATCATATATTACATTTACGAATTACATATAGAAACCACGTACAGTTAAACCTCTATAAATTAATATAGTGGGGACTAGGGAAATTCTATTAATTTAGTGAATTATTAAATTATCGAGTTAATAATTTAATACGTTTTCACCGAGTCAGGACCAAGAGAAACTATTATTTTAATCGAGGTTATTAATTTATAGAGTATTAATTTATCGAGGTTCTACTGTATGTGATTTGTGTGATCCATAAGCAAACAATTAATATATCATATCAAAAGAATTCTTTTTACACAACCAACATTTAATGTAATAGAATCAGGGGACGGTACCTGGCGCTGACGTGGATCTGATTATTACTCGCATACGCGACACCGTCCATGTCATCGATAAATAAGCTCACTGTCTGCACAGTTTTCCTATCAGCTGCGGTGTTCTGTTGGAAGGTCCGCCATATGTAACCTGTGGAAGCATTCATGGATTGCAGGGTGTATTGCACCCCGATATCTCTTACAAACCGGGCCCCACCTGCTGTGCTGGCTGCTGTATTCGTGACCGTGTACTGAACAGCAAGGATGCCTTGCAAGGCTGAAAGGATTGCCAAAGAAGACAAGATCAAAACTAAGTTAACCATTTTGTTATACTTGATACTTTTCATTTGTGGGAAAATTGAATGAGTATATATAGCTGAGTGGAGGCAAACTTCAATAGCTTTGCTCAGTCAATTTATCTATGATTTTTCAATTGAATATCTTGACTAGAATGATATATATAGGGTTGACGGAAAGGCTATATAATTAAGGGACCCAGTCTACTGTAATTTCCATTCATTTTTTTTTTAAATTAAGATACAACTAGCCTGGTATATATTTAAAATTAATTGACACTGTTATTGCTGAATGAATACCATTTAGATAACATCAGTGTAATATTCGTCATTTCCCTTTTTTTTTTCTTTTTTTTTTTAACTTGTATTCATGATAAATATAAATCTACGTCAAGCTTTTACCTAGGGGTGGAAACCGGACGTATCAGATCGGAATAAGCACTTTCGGAAAAATTCCGATTTTTTTCCGGAAGTGAAAAATCCATTCCGAAGAAATCGGAAATTGGAATGAAAGAACTCGTTCGAAAATCGGAAATTTTAGGATCATAATAAGCGTAAATCGGAAATTCCAATTTTTTAGTCACTTAAAACATAAAATGTATAATAATATTGCTATTCTAAGTGTAATTTTCAGAGAAAAAAATTTAGGAACTTTTGGAAATTGAAATCGTCTCATATATATTCCAATTCCGATCCAAAAAAAAAAAATTGGAATCGGAATGTGGAATGAAAAATATTGTTCCAAAATCGAAAAACTTCGGATCAGAATCGGCGGAAATCAGAAATTCCGTTCCAATTTACACCCCTACTTTAACCTACAGGTGTTTACTTCTCTAAAACTTTTGTATTTATATCAATTAAAAAAGTATTTTCTTGATGGGGTTTTAATGATTTTTAGGCACCAATATATTTTTAATAGGTTTTTAAACATCTACGGCCGACCTCTAAGGTTTCAACAAGTGGCTCGTGATATTCGTAAGAAAGATTGATAAGATTTTTCTTATTCTAGAAGTATAGTATATCGCTCTATTTGCTACGCAACTAACCGTTCTACTATATTGAGTATTTAATAATATCTATTTACCGATGAATTTGACTATTCTTTTTTCGCAAAATTTCAAACTGCACAAATATTTGACTCACTCCACACTTAAAGGGGTTTGCCAAATGCCCTAGAAAGTAGAAACAATCCAAGTCAAGTCAAGGGCAAATGAATTAGTCGAAAGCAAATTTAAGAATCATCGGCAACTCGTTTATTTGATCACTAATCTGTCACACCGTATCCCTTCTTCCACCGCAACCTGGCCTAATATAAAAATCGAACCAGCTTAACGCTATTTGTTCCCGTAGTTTATTCTATCCTACACCTGGTCAACTTCACCTTGTAATATCCAACTATACACGTGAATTTATCAATATACGTTTTACACACACCCAAAGGTTTATGTGTGTGATTTTGTGTAAATCAAGGGTGATATATTACGGTCTCGAAAGCCTTGTCACTGTAACAAATTGCATAAACACGACCTAATAAAGAGTTGCACCAGATCTAGTAGACAGTGTCCCATGAGCCTAACCTAATATACACTTGCACCAATTAATCAACCAGTCTAGTAACCTGTATTCCATCATCAACTTGGCACAAATTGCACCAAACCTGAATCTTTGGTGTTAATTAGCAATTGTGATGTTATGTATTACAAGTTTGGAGGGCCTCTACTTGAGTGAAAAGTGAAGAATTTAAACAAAATTAACGTCGTTAGGCAGTAAAGTTCATTGAGTGGAAAATTGACCAATCATTTATTTTCAACGGCAAAATAAAGACAGCACTTCTCGTTTAAAAAATATACAACTTATGTTACCACTGTAAATAATTAAACCATCAAGATTCATACCTGACAGGTTGACCGTTGAACCTTATCTTCATCCCCAGCAATTGTGCTTAGCCTACAAAACCACATCTCATATACTCAAATCTGAATACAGAAGAGCAGAAGAGACACGAGACAACATTTTACAACTCTAAAAATTACATGTTCGTCAAAACTGCAGCTTTCTTTATAATTTTTTTTTTTTTGCCAGCTAATTGTTGAGTTCAGACACCTAAAATCCTCGCGCATTCTAGGAACTCGTTTGGTTGGTAATATAAACCATGATTAATTAAATAATTAGGCCTTGATGTTTATTAGTGCATTAACTTTTTGGGCATGCTGCAATTATGGAAAAATGAGCTGTTATCTTGGACTTATTGGAGGGCTGTGTATTGAACCTTCTCCTACCTGTCACATTTGGCATCATGGCTAGATTTCCGGTGCTAGGAGAGGTCACAACCAACAAGGAAGTCTTCGTTCATCTACGACCAATAAGAAAACCACAGCGAAGCCTCAACAAACCAATTCTACAAAGGAGGGATACTGAGAGTTCCTCCATATTCTTCACCCATCAACCTCTGAAAAGGTCAAAGTACCAAAAAGTACAAGTCATGTTAACGATTATCTTCAAAGCAGAACAAGCAACTTCTCCTCTCGGTCCAGGAAAAATATACGGAGCAATGGAATGTCTGAAAAGTCAAGGAGCAAACAGAACCTGCAAGTGAGGAAGGATGACGTTGTTGACCTGTATGAAAATATCAGACCTCCCACATAACCTGGTTCACACGAAAAATGAGACAATGATATAAAATTAATAAATAAAAAGAAGGTAATACGATGACGCAACCTATAAATCAAGCTACGCAACTCAAACCATCATCGGCTAAAACTTGCTAGAAACTTCTTTTCTCAGGGATTGTATTCATACTACTCATTTCCTTTAAAGCTCGAGCAAGGCTTGATAAACGTAGTTTACTAATATATCAAAATCAAAAAAATAATTGTGGTGCATTGCCCCCAGCTGTATAAGGGAAAAAAACATTTTGTTGCAGAACTAGATAATTTAACTGATTTTCATGACCAATTTCCATACACCAACAGAGAAATCAAAGATGTCCTGACAGAAGCATCATTGTAATGATAAATATTTTATTCTAGTATAACCACTTACCTCCTTAGAAGGCGTATACAACAATATATCTCCTCCATATCTGTTGCTATTTTGAGATCTATATATTGCTTGAAAAGCTCGCACAGCCAACTAACAGCATCATGGAATCCATCAGCGCCCGCATCTATCGGTGGAAATATCTCAGAAACCATACGCTGCAGTAGAGAAGACAAACATCCACCACATCCATAGTGATACATCTTAGCGAAAGTATTCAATATGCTGCAGGTGCTGTTTTTGAACTTCTCAACCCACTTTGGAGGATTTCCAATCCAGAGGTCCTTTAACTCGGAAGATTCAAATTCAGGCTCTTCATTAATCACATTACTGGAAGAACCTTTAACAAATTCTGGTTCTCTGTGCTGTGGAAGAAGTTCAATTATGTCTTTTCTCAACTCTTCAGGCAGTTGTTGCAACACTGAGCGATCTACTTGACTTAGAGATGAGGGCATTAAGTTTTTTAGAGAAAATGAAGTGGGCACAGCAACACTAGGGGGTGCTACCTCACCAGACTGCATTTGAAACACGAGATACTATTTAATAAGCTGGAAAACATATATCAACTTAAAACAAACCAAGCAAATATTACAGGATAATAACTTTCACCCCTAGAATACCCCGTGAAGGAAAATCTAGTTTGAAATATCAAAAAGGTGTGCAAATAAAACTCAGCACCATCTCAACTATGCAAAGCAAGAATGCAGTGAATACCTCATTGTCAGCAGCAATTGTATTTGATTCTACAAGATGAACAGCTGAAAAAGATTCTGTTTCCTCAACTGAGGCATCTAAATCTGAAAGCAGTATTTCCATGAGGCATTTACACGGGTTTAAGTAACAAATTACTAGCAAAGATCTGAAACTTACCTTCACCACTTCGGGATGATATAGCATCCAAGTTTGTATCGGCAGTTTTCCTTCTATTTTCAGAAATGAAACCTAATAACTTCCCACCGTACATGTCATTAATTTCTGAAACCACTTCAGGCGGAAGAGACTCTATAACGGCCACATCAAGATCTTCAAGAGGGGGGAGGCTCGCAGCGCCTGTATCGACGGATGATCCTGATACATTGGAGCACAGATGACACAAAATACACCACTACTCAGTCTCGACGTATCAAAATAAGTGAAAATCTACCAAGTTAATCATAACCAACACATCACAAACAAAGGTAATTTTCCTGTTTCAGGTCCCTTTCTAAGACTTCCAGTAGAATGACAAAGCAGCATTCATGCTAAGTCACACCTTGCATTAAATCGTGCTAAAACATAGCACAGAAAGATCAATCTAAAATATACGAACTGATGTTTATATGTAATCATGCTACCTGCATCACCATGGTTTGAAAGCTGAACAGGTTGGTTTCGGTCTCTGTCCTTTGATGAAGTGGAGACAACCCAAGGAAGGATGGAATTTCTTTTGTGAACTTCACAATGAAAAGAATCAATCTATAAATGCAACATGGAACCAATACATAGGGCCACTAGTAGATATACTCTATGAATAAACAACTTAGTCTTCCTTCAAAATGATTATATAGTTGCAAGAGTTCATCGCAGCACTTACCTAGTTTGCTATCATCAGCACCTTCAAGTTTCGAGACCTGCAAGCCCACACCTCGAATATCTTCAACATCTGGTATGGACATTGCTATGTTACTAATTAGAACAAGAACAATTTCCATCAAAGTAACATTTTATTATGTGGGGGTGCCCAGGTGCACCAGAGAATGAGTGAGTTCTCAAGGAAACATATCAACAATGTCATCTAGTGGTTTTCCAACCCAAATGTCTAAAACATACTCATTACATTTGGCGTAAACGAACACACCAACAAATCACCAGTTTAGTATTGCTGGTCATCCTACTAAAAAGTACTTTAAAATTATCATGTTGATAAAGCACTACAAGAGTATCAAGGTGGAGAGAACAAATCGAAACTAGCAGTAATGAAATGAGAAAGCCACATTCAAGAAAAAAAAAAACATATCAAACTAGAACTTATTCGGTTGTAAGCAAATGTGGAGAAACCAAGCATCATGTATAACGGAAAGTAGAGTTTATTATAGAAAATCAAGTTAGCTGTTTTCTCAACAAAGATAATTCTCAATGAAGTAACTGAAGATACAATTAGGTTTCGTGTATGCTGGATTCACATGAAGTTCAAGTTAATATCAAGTAAACAAAGCACTACGAAAACATTTTGGTGGTAAAATAAAGATATATTAGGCTGATTGACTACCTATGTGGAAATAACCAAAGAGCTGAGTGGCCAACCTCTTAAGCACGTCCGCATCATCCGTGGCCATTGGGATCTATTATTTAGAAATTCTCGTAGTATAAAAATGAGCTCAGGAGTTATCCCGTGAATAAAAAATACAAGAAAACTGGTCGTGAGTACTATATTACCGTTATTGAATGGCTCAGGTTCTCACAGTCTCCACAGCCCATATACTTCACTGGTTCTCCCGCATCACCTCTCTTCTTCTTTATCTGTGATAAAGCTTGAGTAGTTGTTTAAATCATCTAAATATAAGTTAATGACTCTAATGCCCCAAGCTTTAATAATAATAATTTCTACTTTGAAGAAACAGGTGAACACCTTGAGAGTAAATGATCGCCCTTGCACTCCGCATCCCTGCAATCGAAGCGCAACCTCCTTGCACAGATTCTCTAGAAAATGCCGAGTCTAAGACAAAAAAAAATTACCAAATTAAGTTTTCAGATAGAGGAAGGGAATCGGAGTTTCTGATATGGGGCACCAACATCATTTCGATTCCTGAACCTCACACCCCAGTTCACTTCAGCGCCAATGGACTTGCTTTCCTGCAAAAGCAGGTAGAAGAGAAATTTATTACAGCAGAGAAATTTGGTTGATGAAATACTTGCAAGCTCCTCCTAAATGCTGTTGCCAGTTCTTCAATAACTAGGAACCGGCACCAAAATGATTAGAGGAAAAAAATGAATGTAAACTTAACCATACTGATACCTTATGAAGGCATACTTTCCTAAGCAAATTTTATCAAGTCACTGAAAAGCCTGTAATTTTTTAATGAATGGGAGGTACAACTATTATAATTGCTAAACCACGGCGAAGAAAACAGTTAAGTTAATGCCTTGAAAGGTAATATGTAGTTTGAAGCTCAAAAGTCACACCCCTTATTACAAACTGGCTCAGAACAAGCAAAAGTGAGTACCATCTCTCTCACCTGAATCAATCCAACTAGTCGGTTGTCTATCCCTCTACTATAGTTCCAGAGCATCTCTCCAGTTTTCATTCCAAAATCTTTCTGAAGAGACTCCTGCAAATGTCAAATAGTGTTGAGACAGGAGGATCCAAACATTTCTTATTTTTGTTGGAAGTACCTCTTTTTCCCTTCATCGCATATGAAGCACATTCAAAGAGATAAATTACAGGAGTTCAAATTCAGTTTACGTATTACATTTTAAAACTAGCCAACAAACATGGAAAATGCATAGTAATGATGTAACGTAAGAAAACAACAGAAGTTGGCAAATAACTGAATAAGCATGGGATTCAAGTACTGTAGGACTAAACAATTCCTGAGCCACCCCAAAAAATATTGAAAGTAACGGACAATAAAAATTAGTCTCGATTGGAAGATTGAGATTACCTTGGAGATTGCGCGCAAGTGCGCACAGGTTTTAATTTGTTTCTTCTTCAATTTGTCTTCCAAAATATGTCCAATACCTGGAAGTGCCTTAACTGGAAGTTCGGATAAATAAGTATCAACCTGGAATATCAACAAAATTAGGTCAACAGCATGTTAGTCAACACTCAAAGTGTGCATAAAAAAATACTATTCCATTGGAGTTCCACATCATGATTGCTGAACTCAGAACCCTTTTGAGATGCTATATTTCTATTTATGATATTGCGAAGAGATTTTTGTAAACTAGTAATAAGTATATGTAGCATACTCTGAAACAATTAAGAGTGAAACATATACCTTTTCAGGAGGAATGTAACACAGGCCATCTGGTTTCGCAGTTTTCGTAGCCAGACGAGCCATAAGCATATTTCCTGCAATTCCTGCACTAGCAGTGCATCCTGTAGTGTCGAAGATCTCCTTTCTGATTACTGAGGCTAAAAGCTGAGGATCGCCCACTTCCGATTCAGATACATCTAAAAATGCTTCATCACAGCTGACAGCCTGCAATGAAAACTATTATTTCAAGAGCCACAAACAGACCAAATATAGCTTTTTAACATTTCTGAGGATAGACCTGGACTTTTTGGCAGTGCTTGTGCAAAATGTCATAGAATTGATCTGCCACCTGCAACAGATAAACATACTTTACTGGAGACCCTCATGACCAATAATGCAACATGAAGGAAAGAGATACAGATTCATAAACCGTCAAAATCCTCAAACTAGCTAAAAACTGAATAGTTACCTTCTCATAAGCTCCAAAATCATATGGAACTATTACGAGCTGAGGGCATCGAGTCTTGGCATCTTTGACAAACATTCCAGCCTTCACTCCTGGAAGCAAGCAAGTATCAACTTCAGCACATATGGAAGATACTGTAAAACATATTTACAGAATACAAGCCCAACCGTGATCTCGAGCAGGATAATTGGCAGATGATATTTCAGCAGTACCACGGGGATTATCTGAATGACAAACAGCAACAGGTTTGTCAAGTAATTCAGGATAGTTCCTGGTGACAACTGCAACAAAGAAGCAGTCCTGCAGACATTTTCCAATTGAAGATTTTACTGGTCAGTCAATTGATAAGATGAAGAATAGGGAGAAAAATGAATATATGTACAAAAGTAATGCCTCAATACCATTTGATATAGTTTTGGCAGGTGAGAAGGTGGGTGGAACAACTACCACTAAAAATGGCACGAAAGGAAATAATGAGTAAAACTCGAGAGCTGCAACATATGGACTTACCATGTCAATATGTATTATGGAATTATTTTCATTTACAGCAGTGTTGAGACTAGAACTTTTGCACCTATACCCATTAGACAAGCTGGAAAACCGTTTACGATATCGGTTTCTCCACGTACCGATAAAATGAAGCCTTGAACTCTGAAAGTGGTAAAAGATGATTAGGACATTATAAATAAACCCCAAAACATTTACACACCATGATCTTCGGTACTGTTTGAACCAAAGAACAAAAACAGCGGTGAACTATATAACCAAGATTTTTTGGAGTTCTTACCTTAAAATAATTTTCCACAAAATTGGGGTCCACAAGAGTTGAATGGCCCTGGTTAGGAGCTAACTTGGTCCTGGAGCTTGAAGGATTAGTAGAATTATGAATACTGAGGCTACTACTGGAAAGTGAAACAGAAGCCTGAAATGTGCTAGACTTGTGCTTCAAATCAGAATTCTTCTCATCTAAATCTGGAGAATCATTCAGTTCGACCCCTTTTACTTCATAGGAACTTTCTACGCTGCAAGCTGGCTCTTCAGATATCGGTTTGTTAATGTTCAACTGTGAGTGGTCATCCAGTTCTTCACGGAACCTGTCTGTTTGCTCTAAAGATGCATTATCTTCAGGGAAACTGGAATCCACCCTACTCGGTGATTGATTATCATTTTCAAATATTTGTTGACCATCAACAAGAAATTCTGCACTCTCAGATACTCCATCTTTTTTTGGAGTAAAGAAGGTAGATAGTTTTGATTGGTTATCTTTTTCAGTTCCAAGTTGATCAAGCTGATAGGGAATCCCTGGCAAAACAAAACACCAAAGTGTCATAAGAGGGGGCATAAATTTTTCGTCAACCTATAAACAGTGAAATATGACGCTGCAAATCAATTGACCTATCGAAAGGAAAAATAAATGAAACCTTGATATATAGAGCCATAAAGAATATTTTATACATAACATATCTCTAGGATTAAGGACGGGCGTAGGGACAAGGAATTGTTGCATATGTGAAAAAATTTCAATCACGTTACGTCATTTTTCAGAAACTAGAAAGAAAGAAACAAGCAAACGAAAAATGAGATGAACTCTTACTATGATATATCATGCTGCAGTTTTGTTGTTTTACAGAGTGAACTGCAGCAGTTCAGGATACCACATTTTAAGTTGATTTAGAAGAACAAAAACTCAATTCCATGTAATTACATGAACCCAGAGAACTAACAATTACGAAATACCTCTTCAAATGAACACTTACAACTAAGAAGTTTATTAGCAACAACTGAATCAAGCAGCCATGCGGGTTTAACTACTGGAAGTCCACCACTGAAAGCCCTATATCAATTACAAATAATCTTCAGTAAACAAAAAGCACACTAACAGAGCAGTTTGGCAAGAGCTATTTTCAGAGGGTAAGAATGAACCTCAAATTCTTGATTTTACTGTCAGGGAGATTACTGCATATTATATGTGTAACACGATGCCTTGAAAAATAATTCTCAAAACATCCTCCATACTTCAACATGTATCCTCGAAGCTCCTAGAAGAAGAACATGTATAAATTAACTGAATGGGTCGTATTATGAAAACCCAACCAAGGAGAAAAATTTGAAAGGAGTTACTATCCTAAGATTTTTCAGATATCATGCATCTAACAGTTCTACGTTCCGTAAACGACAATCAAGTTTACTGAAAAGAGAATGCCATAAAGCAACGGAGTTCAAAATAAACCTGATTTGAAGGAACAGTATATCCATCAACAAAAATCGAAACCCCACGAAATATGGACTTCCCAGAGGTGGATGCACTATGAGAAGAACTCGAAGCAGCAGCGTCAAACTGTTCGTGTAGTTTCTGATTCTTTACAGCCATGTAACTAAACAAGTACTCCAAAAACCATTGAAAAAAAAAAGGGCATCAGATAATAATTTAATTCCATATCCAAAAATCATCAACACGAGGCAAAAACGAACAACTGCGTCCGTTACTGACTTCAAAAATTATCAATATTTTCACACTCCAAGTAGTAATTCAGAGATTTACATCCTCAATTAACATCTACATATTCGAGAAATAAAAAATTACATCACAATTTGTGAAATGAGATGATCACAAACCTGCCGAAATCAGCGAAGGGCGAATTGCGGGAGGCGGAATTAGAAGAAGCGCGGGAATTAGCACCCCAAGCCATGCCCAGGGTTTTCTGAGCGGTCTTCCTCTTCTTGCTCGAGCTTTTGCCATCACCGCTGTTGTTACCAGAAGAAGAAGGGTTTGAGGACATCGATTTGAAACTCCTTTTCGATTTCGAATCCGAATTAGCACTCATTTTCGTACAGTGAATACTGGAATTCCTGAACAAATTAACTGAAAATTAAAGTTAAATTAAAATCAGAGAAACTTGCGGAGGAATTTGAATGAAGCGGTAGAGTTGGAGCTGACCAATTATGTAAGCGCGCATACGAGATTTGTCTCCGGTTCTCTTTCCTCCGGTTCTAATAAGACCCGGCAATTTTGAAACTATAGTCGCGTTTCTGGATTAGTGTAACCGCCATTTTTACAGTGACGGCCTTTGCAGCACGGATATTGAAACGGAATGTCCTAAAAACAGTGATATCGGAAGTTGGGAGAAATGTATAAATATTAAAAATATAGAGGTATATTTATGAATATGTTATATCAATATATCTAAGTTTTTGTTTATATATATAAAAAAAATCTATAGTTATAAAAAAAAAATATATATATAGTTTCATGCTAACATATTCAAAATAATTTTACTATTAACTATGAATTTGCAATTGATCTGAAAATAATTAGGAGAGCAACAAAAATATTTGAAAATTTGCTATTCAAACATGCTTCTAACTCTTTAAAAACCGCAAAATGACTCATAAAATGTCTGACAGGTGTCTTCGAGTTTCCGACACGAAATATTTTTAAAACACGAAAATATTAAAAAGTTGAAGTTTTTCGTGCTGCATAGATAACGATTCTAGGTTAGTTGTAAAACTAGGTTAGAAAGTAATGACAATGTTGTGAAATTGAGTTGGAATAATTGTAAGCAAAATTAAAGAAATTGCACACACACACACACACACAATAGGTGTACATGGTTCGAATTAGAAGAATCTTATATTCACGGCGCAATAGTAACGGCCTAACGGGATTTATTAAGGAACAAAGTAACACACACAATAGGTGTACATGGTTCGAATTAGAAGAATCTTATATTCACGGAGCAATAGTAACGGCCTAACGGGATTTATTTAAGGAACAAAGTAACAGATCTTACGACAGTCGACACACAATACACAATATAAAAAGTTCTCAAGTTTACACACCAGTTTAACATTTGGTCCCCTATGCTCATAAAAAATGCATTTGATCTCTTCTGTTTCAATAATTTCACATTTTTTGTCATTTCCGTCAATTTTCCCTAAGTTCGTTAGTTACTGTAGTGATTTAGTTACTGTAGTGATGGACACACGTTAAGTTTAATAGAAAATTGACAAAATGACTTATAGTGTTGAATTTTTTAAACTTGAGGGACCAAATGGGTTTTTTTTTCTGTAAACATGGGATCAAATATGAAATCGGTAAAACCTTGAGGGATGAAAACTGTATTTTTAAACTTTGCCAAAATGCCAAAAAAGTCCCTGACAAATGTACATAATTCAGTACCACCCACCATCTCCTCCCCTTGGTATTTCAACACACAAAAAATGGGGGCCAAAACCTCCTACTAAACATCTAATATTTACCACAATTTCTTTTTCTTCCTTTTTTTGACCTTACAATCCCTGCAAAATTGTTCGAAACTTGGGGGAAAAGAAAATCGAGCGATCAGCTTGAGGAAACAACACTGTCGATCATAGCAGCCGATGACCACATATCAGCACCGTTGGATTCGGCCACGTGTAGGGTGAGATCGATTGGTACGAGGCACAATCCCCTGCTTCTCAGATCGTTTGTTCTTCTCTCGTCGGCTTTATTACTCTCTCCATCTTTCTGTCAAAATCAACGGTTCATAATTAAGCCACGGACAAGTATCATACATTTAACAATTTTATATCTAGACATTTATTATATTTCGAGTGTCGTATTTTGGCGCCCTAAAAATTTTTTTAATGCATAAAAAAATGTTAAATGTATGCTAAATTGTAAGTTAATTATATTGAATCAACTCAATAGAACGAAACGAACCGAATGCATCTAATTAAAACTACATCATTTATCAAAAAAAAAAAAAAATTAAAACTACATTGGACAAACAATTAAGTTAATTATATGCTAAAAATTTGCAAATCCAAAAACAACAATGCGTGCGAAAAATTACGCGAAATAAATAAATAAGAATCGCTTACGGGACGCTGCAAATACGGAGAACACAAGACCTGCACTTGATCATGCAAAAATCGAATATACCCCAATGCTTCGTGAAGAACCGATGCCGTATCGGTCTGTAGTTAATAATCAATCAAAATAGTGAATCAATTAATTAAAGTGACTATTTGTAATTAATTTCCATTTTATTTTTTTATGTAATTTAGTAATTAAAATAGATCAATCAATAAATAAATAAAATAAAATAAATTGACCTTGCCAAAGGGCGAAACAAGCTGCTGCAACGCTGCGATTCTTTCCCCTAGCTTCTCTTTCTTAACAACCTAAGACAAATAATTAAAATAAATAAATAAATAATGTGGCAATTTTAATATTTTTTTAATTAAGAAAAAATGTGTGATTAAAGTTTTTTTTTTATCACAAATAATCTGACCTTTGCATGGCCGCCGGTGATTGAATTCTCCGGCTTTGACTTCTTACTGTTCCTCCGACTTCCGGTCGGGCCGCCCGAATTGAGAATACCCGACCCGTTTCTCTTCTTCTGCAAATAAAAAAAAAATTAAATTCACGGGTGGATTTTTTTTAAATTAAATAAAAAGTCATACTATTATACTGACAGTGGAGTTGGGCAATGAGCTGCTAATCTTGGTTGAAGAAAGTGAGGTAGGATCCACCACCATGCAAGCGGGTCCGGGTACCCGACCCGTTTCCTTGCCATTCTCGTAATCACCAAAACACAGCATTTTCGGAGTATTTACAATATGATTATCAGACGAGAATATTGAAGAAGATCCGAACCCGAAACAACTATCCGTTTCAAGACCCGTAATTATTTCGTCCCCACAAAGAAGCTGCGTGTAGCACCCGGCCGGGTCATCCTCAAACCCGCCATTAACACCCGCCATTATATATATGTATGATATATTATATATTTATATATATAAGTAGCTAGGTAGCTAAGCTATGCTGCTGCAAAGTTTCAGTCTATTTCTCTCTCTCTCTCCAAACAGTTTCTCTCTCTATATATGTATATGTGTATGTGTACTTACAGAAGTTTGGATTTTTTTCTCCTGCATTTCGAGGAGGGGAGAGAGAGGAGAGAGAAAGAGAGAGAGAGAGAGAGAGAGAGAGTAGGGCTTTGGTATTGTCGTCGTCTCACAGTCAAAGTGGCAAATTCCCACCCGAGAAAACCGTGCTTTATTTTAACCAAAGCAAAAAATGGTGACCCGTACCCGAAAGCCCGGATTCCCGACCCGTTTTATTTCGTCGTCGGAGGGCGTGGCAGAAGCTGTGGCCGTGATCCACTGAATGTGGTCCATTCGTCCCGCATGCATGATATGACTCATCATTTATGACCCGGCGAGGGCAAATATGTAATTATAATCCTGGGTTACAATTTTGGGTTAAATACAAATTACACCATGTACGGTCACTGGTGACTCGTGCACCATATAACCCCATGTACTATAAAATATGATAGAATGGCCCATCAATTTAACGGTCAACCCTCAAATACACTGTTAGTTTATGTAGCGTAGTTACTTTTTTACCCTTACATTTACATGATATGAATCGGTGATTTTTGACTTAATTACTTGGTCAATTTTTTTACTTTATTACATAATACTCCAGTGGCATCGACAAGTGATTCTAGAAAAATATGTCTTGTAGTGTTTGGACGTAAAAAAATGAAATGCATGAATTTGGAGAATTAGAACTACGGGAAGCATTTTAAATCGAGAATTTTTAGGCGGTTCAATTTTATTTTTCTTCAAAAATCTAAAAAGAATTTAAAAATATTAACCAAAATAAAAGAAACTCATAAATTATGTATGATATTTTTAGGTTGGAAATATAATTGCAAAATTTCATAAAATAAAAAAAATATATAAATAATTTTTAGAATATATTTTAATTTTCTAAAAATTTGGCGGAATGTTTAGGCAATGTTTGGAACCGTTTTGGATCTTATTTTGATTTCATTTTGAGGAAATATGTTTTGGGGGAATAATTTGAGAATGAAAGTAATGTTTGTTTGTATTTTGGAAGGAGATAAAATACACTGTAGAAGTCAAATCATGTTTAAAGGTGTTAGAAAAAGATATTTTTGAAGAAGAAAATTGAAAGGTGAAGTGATGTTTATTTGTTTTTTAGTGAAGACATTTTTTACTGTAGCAATCAAATCATTTTACTGTAGCAGTCACATCATGTCTGGAGGAGAGAGAAACTTTTGAAATTGTTTTGAGAAAATGATTTGAAAAGTGTAATAAATCTCATTTTGTTTTGGGGAAACAGTGAGAACAAAATAAAAACGGTTCCAAACATTGCCTTAGGTTGTGGAAATTGAAATCAGTGAAGAAACATGGAAAAATAGAAAGTAAATTGAGTACAAGATATAAAGAAATAGACACACTTTTTATGTACATTCATAGGGTATTTTCGTCTGAAATTGTCCAACATCTAGTGCAATAGTCAACCAACTTAAAAAATGAACGAATTCTTTAATATACAGTAGAACCTCGATAAATTAATAATCTCGATTAAATAATAGTTTATCTCGGTCACGGTCGATGAAAACATGTTAAATTATTAACTCGATAATTTAATAATTTGCTAAATTAATAGAATTTTCATAGTCCCGACATTAATTTATAAAAGTTTAACTAGTTCAATGTGATGGGCCATTTTGTCGCATTTTATTGTACACAGGGTATATGCAACACCAATAATGGTACATGGGTGCAATTGATAATTAATCCTATTATTTTTGGATTCCACATAAAAAAAAAAAAAAGAAATTGATATAAGAAATAAGAAAAAAAAAAAAAAATCGAAGGGACACGTGTGGAAAAGCATGATAGGAAGCGTAAGAAGTGAAGAACAGTCAGAGATCATCATTAATCAGTAATTAATTAATTAACTAATAGATTTTGTTTTAATTATTGGTTTTATTAATAAAATCCCATTGAATTAGCAAACATCTTTCGGTTCATGCCCCGATGTCTATTTCTCCAACGCGCACACGCGCGCACACCTCGTTGCTCGTTCTTCTTCTCTCCAACTTCCAAAGCAATAAACATTTGACCACAGTTTTGACAGTTTTTATGATCCTCTATTAATATTCTCGTATTTAATATTTCTTAATTGTATGGGTTTCATTTATTGCATTTAGCACCCCTGTATTTACTTCAATTGTTAAAAAAGCTCTCTTGTAGTAATTTTGTCACATAAAACCTTGGATACTGTCATTTTATTTGGCATACTACTTTCTAAAAACTAGGTGCGTAAATCGGACGGATCAGATCGAAATCAGGTGAAAAACTAGTTCCAATTCCATTCCAAAAATATCGGAAAAAATCACGAATCAGAATTTCGGAAATTGGAACCTAAAAAATTGTTTCAAAATCGGGAAATTTCGGATCCATATTGGTGAAATTCGAAAATTTCCAATTTTTTGGTCACCTTAAATATGAAATGCATAATTATATTTGGAAAAAAATCGGAGTTTTCGGGATTATTTTTTGAACTTAAATTGGATCGGAAATCGGAATCTCATGTATATTCCAATTCCGACCTAAATATAATTTCGAAAAAGTCGGAATTTCGGAATCTAGATTGAAAAATGTTATTCCAAAATTAGAAATTTCGGGTCAAAATCTGTGAAAATCGAAAATTACATTCCGATTTTCACCCCTACTAAAAACTCATACTTTAGGTGATTTTGTGCTAAAGATGCATTACGAGAGGGATTTTTTAATACAACGGTATTCTTTTAGCAAGTCGATATAATAATAAGGTATACTAAATGCAAATTACTCTTTATATATGTTAGATATGTAGATGTTATATGTAACCCCTTTTGATCTTCCTTTTTGAGTCATTTTTCGAAATATATTAAGCATTTTCATTTTTTTTTATTTGTAACATTTTCGAGAATGTTAGTGTTTTATTATTTCATTTTAAATTTGAAGTAATATTATATTTATTTTAATTACATCAAAATTATCTATCCTACATTAAATGTGTAATGGACCAAAGCCTAGAAACATATATCAGCAACCCCATAAAGGCAAATAAATTGATGCATCTAAGTCCAAAGGCCTAATCAACAAGCCCATAAAGGCACACAAACCAAGTTTAAGTCGTCTAAAACTTAGGTTGACCACAATCTAATATTCGGATCCCAGTTCGCTTATATGCTCATAAGTATATATTTCTCGAGAAAAAATACTCGAGAATCTCACAATTAAAGATACAAAATTCATAATTCTCGAAATTGACTTGAGTATCCGAGGATTTGACGCACGGACCAAACTCCAATATTCTAAGTTTCCTAACGACATTTTGTGATGCACGTAGTGCCCAAGTGAAGAATCAAGAAGGGCAGGGATGAAATGTGAGGTGATCTGGAATCACACCACATCAGTCCACGAAAATTATTTATTTTACTAATTAAGCTGATCATAGTAAGAAAATTATAAATATATTTGCATATTTTACTTGAAATTCATAATACATGCATATTTGTATTTTCAAATATTATAAAAAAAAAATATTACCCCTTAAACCATTTATTTACAAACCAAAGGGGAAAGAAAGGTAGAAATTTGAAAACACTGCGAATTTCCCCCAATTTACAGTACACACAGCGCAACAACAATGGCGTGGCGAGGTTCGCTTTCTACATCCCTCATTTCCACCGCTACCTCTTCCGCATGTTGGTATATATATATATATATATAACTGTTGGGTTTCGGGCACGTGTACGCAGCGGAAAACAAAAATTTAATGTGATTTAAACGACTTTAAAGCACACAAGCACATGCCCGACAAATTAAAATCAATTAATTGCGTACCTTTGCGCTTCCAGCGAAAATAAAAACAACATACATGCTAAATAATTTAACCGAATTTAAATCAATTAACATGCTCGCGTTTAAACCAATAATCATGCTTGCAACGATTAACACGATTACACATAATCACATAAAATCACATGATAGCAAACATGAATTCATAGTTTAAACCTAAACGAACCGAAACTAGGGTTTCGTGTATTTACCTCTTGAAGCGTGAGGTAGGAGCGTTTAGCAAGTCGAGATTGCTACGGAAACCAATCCGTACAATCGGGGCAGCAGCGGTGCAGGAGCAGCAGCGGCGAATCAGCCACGGCGGCGCGTGAGGTACACGCGCGGTCTTCCTGGGCGGCGTGTGGGGCAGCGTGCGGCTTCGGCTCGTGCGCTGCTCTTCGATTCCTCGATCTTCGATCTTCCTCCTCTCGGATTTCACCTCGTATACTTCGATCTACTAAACACGTGGCACTAGACACGTAATAGTTAGAATTAACGGAAGAAAAAGAAAGAAGAAAAGAGTACCGAAAGGGATCGGCCAATAGATGGCCGATTCCGGCGACGGAGGAGCGGCGACGACGCGGTGGTGGCCGCGGGGAGAGTGGCCGAGAGAGAGAGGCGGACGCCGCTAGGGTTAGGGTTTGTTGTGTTTTTTTTGTGTGCAAGGCCTATAAATCAAGTATTTATAGTCCCTTGCATAAAACCCTAGCGGGCTTAAGTTGGACCGGGCCCAACAGCTTAAGCTCGTTAGTTCCTTTACTTGCTCGTCTCTCTCAATTCAATGATCGGAAAATTGTAACAATTACATATTCGGATTCATTATAATTTCCTCGTCATTACGAGTGCCATCTTTCATTTTCCAACTTTCCAAAAGTGGAAACCCTAGTTCAGTGGACTTTCTAAATTTGGAAACTTCCCGATTTAGAAAGTTCACTAACACGTTCGCCTATTCTTTTCCTTTTCTTATTCTCATTCATAATTCCAAATTACGAATGTTGGACCCAATCATATTGACTTCCAATCATGCAAAGATAAACCATTTTATCTCTGACCGTTTATTCAAAGATCTCATGTGCACGAGCAG